AATAAATGTTAAGTTTCATAGCAAAAACAATTAAGGATGTATTTCCAAACCTGAGGCACTTGGCAATGAAAAATTAATATGTACCACTAATTGACCTCTTTCTAAAACTCATTCCTTATAGTACTCATAATAAACTTTTTTTTTAAGGAAAACAAACATGATTTTACTAAGTTGTCGGAATGAAAATCTACAAAGTAACTGCAAGAAGCTCCTTGTAAAAAAATAACTTACAAATCAGTCATTTGATGCTATAACACCTTCATAATACTCAGTGTTGCAAGCACGCACTTTCCTAGCTGTTCTGCTCCATCAGGAGAGGATGCTTCTTCTGCCTTTTCATTGGGCTGTATGTGACACAAGGTTATCACAAACAGACCTAAACTTCTTTCCAACTGATTAAAACTGATTGAAGAAAAATTGTCTTTACAAAACTTCAGAAAACTCCCATAACTTTGTGCAACTCAAACTTTTACTGAATGGATACTATAGCTGCGAATAATGAGTAGGCTTCATCTTACCAAACTGAAAACAAGGACTCTAAGTGACAGCATCATCCTATGTACAGTCAAGAGATAAGCTCACACCCAACCGCAAACTAGCGATAAACATGAATAAAGATGAAAACTTTACCCCACCTATTCCACAAAGGGTGAAATTTGCACATTTTGACACTATGTTTATTTTTACAGAAGTGAATATGTAGGTGCAATCTGTTCTCTCTCTCTTAAATGTACCTTCTTTGTTATGACAGGTTGGAGAGTGAACTAAGTAATTAAATGAAATGTAGCACTTAACAAGTACAAGCCTTCAAGGTTACAATGCCTTCAGTTCAAGTTTTACAACAAACCATTTAGACAAGTTACAGCTATTTAATACTTGCTGTACTTACTATTCTTCAGCTAACATAATAATACTACCACTACATACTTACCAAACAGTAATTATGAAGAGTGAGATTATATTCTACATAGGTCCTTTTTTCTCCATACTTTTCAGGGCAGTTATCTGTCCGTCCACAGAGAACACAAGCTAAAACACAGAATCATGTTTAGGATCAGTGAGTCCTGGAATTGACATCAGTCAGTTATAAAGCAGTAACTCACCACTTTTAATCACATGCATCCTCAAGCAGCTTACAGGATAAAGGACAGTAGATACTGAAGGGGAACTCAGAAATGGCAATTTGTGACCAAAGGATGGACAGAGAGGGAAGGAAGGCATGACACCACGAAGGGTTAAACCGGCTAGAAGCAAAAATACCAGAGACAGAATAACTCTGTGTTAAAGCAGCTTCCCTTGGTGAGAAGGTAAGAACACTCAGAGCACTGTCTGGTAGCCTTTGCATTCCAAGATTACTACTGGGCCACATCTGGGCAGCAGAACTGAGGGGGGTGAACACTCAGCTAAGGTATCTGATGCTGAAGCAAGTGTATAGAGAGAAAAGGCATCTTTGCAGGCTCCTTGTAGGACTGTTTACAGCGGCAGGGATCTGCCCGCTGCATCACTCATTAAATTTGATTTTTATATTTAAATACAAACATATTTATTTGTCTCAAGTCGTTCAGTAACAACTATACATTAATATCCTTGTCTCAAAGAAATACTTAATTCCACAGTAAACAAAGAAGTCTACTATTTATTCCTTCCTTACTTCCTAGTATGAAAATACTCCACTGGTTCCAACTGCCTGCTGATTTGGGACAGGGCTATCACCAATGCAAACTCAGAAGATTTTGCTCACAACCAAAAAGTTCTTCCATAAAGCCTGCAGAAAATTATTAAGCAGCAAACAATGTGCAAATCTGTGAAATATATGACCTCTAATTTTTTTTTAGTATAATACACAAAGACGTCACCATATTAGAATTCATGAAGACTTCTTTGTATTTCTACGTGACAATCTTCATGAAGAGAGTTAACAGTATGCAGACTGTCAAGTTACAAGCAATATTTTAAAAACATATTAGTTTCAAAACATTTAAAAACTGCAGTCATCAATGTCAACTAAAGCCTTGAGAATTTCCCCATTTCTGAAGTTCCAAGCCCATCAGCATACTCAAGCATGCATAGGCAGGGAATGTCTTCCCTTCAACTCTTAACAGATATATAAAATAGATTTTCAATATACTAACATCAGGAGCAGTCAAAATAAAGTGATTTATAATTGATATATTATATGAAGACTAAAGATTTACATAACTATTTGATTAAAGCCTTACTTACGCGGGCTTTGAATGTCAAAATTATTCTCACTCATTCTAGTGAGTTCTTCAAGCTGTTTATCATGAAAAAGAAATGAAGAGTTAAATACACATCTAATGCATTAAGAATTAACATGATGTACTACTGTTATAGTTCATTCCAAATTCAAAAAAATCCCAAAGCTCAGTAAAGTTTTTAAAATGAAAACAAGAACAAAAGAACCAGTATTAGAATTCAGCTGTTATTGTGAGAGATGGGGGTTCAAAAAGAAGGATGCAGAATAAATACACCCATACCAATGAACATATTTTGGTTATTTTTTCAAAACACCAGAAACATATTTTCTTTTGAAAATAAGCAGCTGCTGAATTGGAATTTTATACATATACATAAACGTACATTCATAGTTATTTTCAACATCAACAATAATGAAGTAATGATCCAAGGAGAACTAAAGCAGTGACAGTGACTCCTGCTCAAATAGAGATAGTATTAACGCGAGTAATTTAGGAGAAGAATACTGGGAAAGATGGTGACTGCGACTGAGGAGGTAGTTTTCCACTGTTCCCAGGATCTTATTCAAAGAAATCCTGATTAAAGACTAGAAAAAGAGAAACGCAAGAAATCAGAAACAGACAGGCACACAGGGGAATCAGCAGAGGCCAGAACTACATATTTTACATTTTGAAGTAGAGTGATCCATTTGGAAACACTGACCTGACTTAGGCTGCGTTTCTTCCAGAACATACTCTTAAAAACCAGATCTCCAGGAAACATTAACACAGGTAGGTAGGGAGTTGGCCTAGCCTACCCCACATTCCACGCTTCCTGGACTACATGGAACAGCTCATGAAGAAAGTAAAGGTAACGTGTTTCTTCATGGCAGCCCTAAGAACATTGCTCTTCCTCTAGTGCAAAGTCAAAGCCTTTCAGGTACTCAGCTGTAAACAGACAGCTTGCCTTTCCTCAGGAACTGCGGAATGCTTTGAGTGAAATTTGCAGGGCAAGCAAGGCAGGACAGCTGTCCCCAGGTCCACACTTGACCTCACAGGAGGGTGCACAACCTCCTGAATACGTGCCAAGGGAGCAAGGAGGCAGATGATAAATTCCATCTGCAAATTGGAAGTCTGACAAACTGAGTTATCAGAGCTTTGTTATTTACAGTTTTGTTTAAACGGTACTTGTACAAACTTTTGCAAATACAGTACTGCAGCCATGTGGTTGAAGTTGCAGGTAAGACATGGCATCAAGAAAAAAGAAAGAAAAAAAATGGACGGCAGAAGTCTTGGGTCTGACTTCTGTTCTATGCCACTGCCATTAAAGATAAACAAAATACTTCCACAGGAGATGTTTGCCAAAGAATGGTCTAAAATGAAAATAAACATTGATGTGATCAACATAGGCTATGGTAAGTGCCAACAGCCACGTGAACATATGGTTTCACCTTTCCCCAGGAAAAAAAACAAAACAACTTCCCCTTTTCCAGATTATGAAAAAAAATAAAGATACCGAATTAGATACAGAGGGAGCAGAAAACACAGCTTACACATTTGCCCTGTTCTTAGCTTACTGCCAGTTCTCACAATTCCGAACCTACCACAGGGTAACACCGTAAACAAACCCTTCACATAAAACCACACAAGACCGGTTTTACACCTTTTGTATTGCACAGAGCCACACCAAGCGGAGAAAGCACGTTTGGCTGGAAACAAGCAAAGCTCCTTCCTCCTCCCCTTTGTGCCGGTTCCAGCAAAATCAACCAACAAAGTCCTTATTGCTCCCCGCATTCCTCGCACTCCCTCAGGGAGTTGAATCCCGCAATTTTGACTGCAAGTCAAAGGAGATGCAAAGTCGAACACCAGAGCTCCATAAATAGAGCTCACGCGTGAGTTCCCCGGATCAAAGCAATCTCGTATTAGTCTATCGGCAGGACAGGAGCACATTATCACCCACTGTTTACAAGAATGGAAATGTAAATACAACATTTATTCTGCCAAAGCGGACTGAAAAAGCCTCTGAATGACAGCAGTTAAGTTCCAGAACTTAATGGTTCTCCAGAACGCCAAGTGTTTTTAACTTTTTTTTTTTTTTTAATTAATGACGAAGAGGGAAACAAACAGGCACTGCTCCGTGAGAGCAGCTTCCCAGCTACCCTCGTCCCGTGCCCTCCGTATTTATACACGACAGAGCCCCGCATCAACTCGCGGTTCGTACCACAGCACAGACCCACCTCACGTCGAGGAAAAGTAATTCTCTGCGTCTCACGGGAACTCAGCCCGGCCCGACTCGCCTCCCTCCAGGCCTCAGACAGCTGAGGCCGCACCGCGGGTCCTGGCAGCAGCAGCACGGCAGTTCCCGCGGGCTGCCCGCTCCCCGTACTCAGGCGGCGGCCGCCTGAGGCAGAGGGATGGCACCGCGCCTCTGCGCTTCGCTCGCGGGGAAGCAGAGGCTCTACAGGCGGCGCGCTTTAAGTCGCCCTAACGCCCCGTTCTGCTCTCGCCTCGTCTCTCTACCCCCGGCAGCATCGGGAGACCGGCGGTAGCGAGGCAAAAGCCTCAGCCCGCCAAACATGTTACTCACCCCGAGGGCGGCGCAGCCAACAGCGAGGTCCGGCAGCAGCGGCCCCACGCCGCAACCGCCTGCGTTAACTGACAGACAATTCAAACCCCAACATCCGCCGACGCACCGGAAGTCTGGAGCCCGCCCCTCGCTCCGCCCCTCGCTCCGCCCCTCGCTCCGCCCCTCGCTCCGCCCCTCGCTCCGCCCCTCGCTCCGCCCCTCGCTCCGCCCCTCGCTCCGCCCCCCATCCCATCCATTCCACCGGCTCTCGGCCACCTTCGTTGGTCGGCAGGAGGAGATTCGAGATCTCGGAAATCGGCGCTTGGCTGGCACTGCCACAGGAGGGCCGGCGGTGGAGCTCCGCAGCCCGGCGCTCCGCCCTCCGCCCACTCTCGGGGGCCACACCGCGCAGCGGGCATTGGGCGCGCTCGGCGTCCGCCTCTTTCCGTCTCTGCGATTGTGGGTCCGGCTGGGGTGATCGGGGCTGCCGGTGTGGGAACTGTGGGAGGGTCTGAGAATCGTGCTGGTTTTCCGAACTGAGCACCAGTGGAGCTGGTTTGGTTTCTGAGGACTGAGAGAAAAGGGGCATTGCCACCCAAGACCACTTGGCCTGTTCTTGTCGGTGAGCTTTATGTTCGATTTCATAATTATTATTATTTTTTTTTCCTGCCCTGGCAAAGCGCAGGTTCGCTACAGACTTTACGTGCAAGCCGTGCAGGCTGTAGAAACAGGCAGTCTCGACCAGAAAGCTTATTCTGGAGTACATTTACAGAATCATGGAATCGTTTGAGTTGAATCGCAGCCATCTCGTCCAAGTGCCCTGCAATGAACAGGGACACCTACAGCTCCATCAGGTGCTCAGAGCCCTCCATCCTGATCCTGAGCGTCTCCAGGGACAGGGTGTCCACCACCTCTGGGAAAGCTGTTCCAGCACCTCACCACCTCTTTTGTAAAAAAAAAAAACATCTTCCTTATATCCAGGCTAAATTTCCTCTCTTTCATTTTGAGACCATTTCCCCTTGTCCCACCACAGAAGACACTGCTAAAAAGCCTGTCGCTATATCGTTTAGTCTTAAGGAAATGGGATTGGTTTGTTTGTTTTTCCCTGAGAAATTCACTTCAAGAAGAAAATACTATTCTATGTATCCCACCTGTAAGACTGGAGTGCTGATTTGTTTTTTCTATACTTGATGGGAAGCTCGCATAGACAATTATATTTGTGATAGTAAAATGGGATTTTTCAAATAATAAAGTTTTGTATTTAGTTTTTACATAAATTCTTTGTTGTTTCAATGCTGCTGTCATGGAACAGACACACACACTGTTGACCGCAGTCCCACCTTATCCCACCATCCAAAACGGTCTCTGCAAATTCATATTCTCCCCGGTAACTTACCTGTCAGACGTGGAATCTGTGCAGTACTTGGCCTCAGACCTAAGCTGTCTCCACTCACCATGTCCCCTATCCTCTTCATAAGCTTCCCTGGCTTGAAATTTGCTAGCCACACACAAATAAAGAACTTAATAAAGAGCGTAATAAGAGAGGCTGAAGTGATTGAGCAGAAAACTTGGCAAGATGGCGGCTGACCAGCCATTTGTTTTCATGCAGTTGGTCCCCATCGTCCCACTTCCTCTCAGTTGTCTAGCCTTTTCCCTAGCCTTTTCCCAAAATATATATAATGCATTTTTCAGAATCACACAAGCACTCTGATATATCCAATAAAAGTCTGCTTTGTTTTTGTTTTTGTTTTGTTTTTACTCGTATTAGTCTTGTGAAAATCAATGTTTTCACTTACCAGTCAGAAAGTTGAAGTTCTGAAGAAGTTCTGGTTGAACTCTGCAATGCTCTGAGTGGTTCCTTCAATGGCCAATCAATGGCCTGAGATTTCTGGTCTTTGATATTGTCTCCATTTCTCCTTTAGGGCTTGTATATCTGAGGGTTAGCATACTTCTGTCTGTTGTCCAAAGCTTTTGTTTTGCATAGATTTTAATTAGATATATCCAGAATAGCTGATTATTGCACATATCCTTGAAGTGAATAAATCTGAAAAATAACAATGGCATCTATCAGTGTGAAACAGAACAAAGACTAGAGGCTGTTTTGCTAAAAAAAAAAAAAAAAAGAGGTGATTTTTAACAAATTGTGTGAGTTTTCCTAAATACTCAGCATGGTGGGTATCCTACTGTATCCAGTAATCTCATATCCTCCTGCTACATGAAGAGTCCAGAACAAATTCTATCCTTCTCTGTGAATTTGATCCTACTGTAATTCTTCCTGTACTCTCTCTGGCACCCTGACTATTTAAAAGGAAGTGAGAAAGTGGCATATTGCCAGTGGAAATGGTGAGCTTTTATTTTGTCTTTTGAGAGCCAGGAGTTAAGCCCCAGCCTCCCACACTCAGGATAAATGTCCTAAATAGTGATCTACTGTATGAAGAAAGGATGTTGTTATGTTTCCCCCATATTTTATAATGGATACATTCTTTTGTTGTATGCTGATAATCTTCAAGTACAGAATATTCAATTTTGAGTCAGCTGACATGTTCTGTTTATTTATTTATTTTTTATTAAGTACTCCTACCCAGAATTCTTCCTTCCAAGTGATGAATAGACATTTAAATTTGTTTTTTTTTCTTTTATTTTCTATTCTTTTTTTGTTGTTATTTTTAAATCATGGAGCTGCAAACATTTTTCTATATTGATATAAACTTCTGACAAATAAACTCCTCTAAGCATTTGAAGTATGGAAGCTGTCTAAAACTCCAACCCATGTATGGAGATGCACAGACATGGCCTTGCTTGTTAAGTTTTTAGAGAGATGCACACATGCACAGGTATTAATAAAAATAAAATAATATCTAATCAGTTTCTTATTTTTTGAATTGGCTTTAGGATAAAAGTGGCCAACTTTTTTTTTACTATGGACTCTCTTAGTTCCTTTGCTTTCATGTAGCCCTTTGAAAAGTATTAGCTCACTATTTACCACCAAACACAAGATTCTGTTTTTGTTTTGTTTTGTTTGTTTTTTCCCCTAGTTCTTCTCTTATATTTTTCTGGTCCTTGTTTGAAAGTTTTGATCTAAAATCAGGTCTGACTGTTCTCAGTATCTTTCAAAACTCAAACATACCACCTCTTGGCAGCAGGAATTTCCTCACAAAACAGCAATTTCAGGTCTCCTGGTACTGGGCTGCTCAGATAATAAGCAGGTATGTGAGCTGCAGCAGTTAGGAGTGATACTTCTCCTGCTGTGAGACCGTGTGGTTCACCCAGCTGAACTCAAATACTGTCTGCGTTGCTGTGATCATTCTGAGTAAGGAGTTTAATGTGTCTATATAAATGCAATACTACTCTGTTCCATTCCTTGACCTTTGAAACAGGACATAAACTGAATTGCTTATAATTTTTCTTCCCTGAGCTAGAAGTTTAAATCTCGAACACCATGACCCATAGCTAGTGCTCTGCTAAGGGCAAAACAGATGTATTTAGTAGACAAACCCTGGGAGAGTAACTGCAACATTGAGGTGAAAGTGATTACATGCATTTTATCTTTTATCCCTTTATGAAGCTGAGAAAGAACTTGTGCTGCACTACCTCTACATGTAATGACCAAAAAGTTGTGGTTAAAGAAGCTTAAGTTTCTCCTTTATCATCTTGTAAATTGAAGGCAGGAAAACTTCCACTTATTATCTCCCATTCCAACTGAGCAAACACTAGCCTGTGGCTATAAATGTTCTGTTTTGCTTGAATAGTTTATGTTTTGTTTTGTGTTTGAGTTATATTTAATGTCAGTTAAATTGCTTTGCAGAAAGTATTTTGTAGAGTTCTTTATTGCAGATGGTGGGTAATGATGGTCATTCTTTGTGAAGTATTTGACTAAAATGCAAACAACCAGAAACAATATCTTTTCAGCAGTGGGATGCATCTTGTTTTTTAAAGGACAGAAAAACATTGCCCCAGCTTAGAGAAAAATTATTTTTTTACATGGTTTATTGAAAATTCAAGCATGTAATTTTTTTTTTTTTTTTCTAAAGGGAAATAATTTTGTTTTAGAGACCTCTAAGATACTCCAATATAATACTATTTATTTCCCTCTACAGGTTTAAAGGAAAAATATAGTTAGGAAAATGAGATGGGGCTTTGCTCCTGCTTTGTTTTTGAAAGTCAAAGTGTTTCAGTATTTTTTAGGTCTTTAAAACAGTTCAAAGTTTATTGAGATGTTCATTTTTGATTACAGGTATTTATATAATTTTGGAGATAGGTAGCCTGGATTATAGAATTCCTAAGTAACCTCAGACAAGTACTGTATCTACATAGATTAAGTAGAACATGAAACATTTTCTTTGAGCATTTAAATCAAGTGCTTATTTTAAAAGAGGTTAGGGGATGTTCCTTTAAAGGGATTATATTTTTTGTTAAGTTTACTGTAGTAGTAGTAGACAAGTAGTAGACTGTAGTAGAAGTAAACAAGCTACTGAAGTCTAGTGAACAAATGAAAGTTCAGTTAGGCAGACTGTAATCAAATAACTCATAAAGTAAAAACTAAGCAAGTCACAAAACTGATTGTGTGAGTACTCTAGTTCACTTTAGCACCTCTTGAATCAGGTTATCTTCAACTATCCAAGAACACTCAGATGAGGGAGTAGTGGATGCAGAAGAAATAATTCTCAAGCACCTGAAAGTCAAAAAGAAGATTACCTTAGGTGATGGCTAGCTTTATTTGAAGAAAGTTTTTGTTCTTTCAGTTACTTGAATAGCATGTTATTTATTGTAAAAGCTCATGGAGAACCCTACTGGAGATATGATTGTTAAACAAACAAACAAACACGTGAACTCTGGACTTGTTATTCTTTTGCTAATCTTTAATGAGAATGTTATAAAGAGCTTCAGATACTGGAAACACTGGGAACACGTCTATGAATCGTCACTGGCGGTTAACAATCACAGTTTACTTCAAATGCCTTTGACAAAATATCCACTTAATCATATTTTCCTTTAATATTGATGCTGTGAGCATCGTTCACTATGAATACAGGTAAGACACTCAACATTTTTACGGATAGAAGGTCAAAGCTTCACTCATCAAAAAGGAAGCTGGCCTGATGAAGGGTCAATAAAAAAAATTAAATTAAAAAGTAATTTGGTTTTAATTGTGAAAATACAGATGCTAATTTTGTCTGCTCAGACAACTGTAGATCACTGTTCTTTGTTTTCATGAGAACCAAACAAGAAAAATGGAAACAAGGTTCCATTCCCCTGTGAAAAGGTTGTTGTACTCTTTGGGAAGAGTATTTAAGTGTTCTGTGCGACACACAAATGCCTGTGAATTACATATAAATGAAGATCTCATTTCTAGGATGCAGATCATACTACAGTTTTGTTGATTGTGAACATTTCATCTCTTTTCAAAAGATTTAGATGCTAATATACAAATTTCAGGAAGAAGGATTTGTTCTGGAGTCATACAAAAGCAGAAGAAAGTTGGTGATGGCCCCAGTGAACTCTCTGCTAAGTAAAAGGCAGAAAGGTCTCAGGGAGTTATTATTATTATTTTGATCACAATAAAAAATCTGAGAGGAAAAGGCCAATGTGGTGTTGCATTAAGTTTATGGATAAATACAAGGAAAAGACGAGCTAACAACTGTTAAGGCTCAATTATTCACTGATGGCATATGGGTAATTTTTGTGTTTGTTGTTACTGGTTTTTGTATGTAGCTGCAGGAAATTTGTCCTAAAACCTCTTTAGTATTTCTGCCTGAGCACGGAGATGCTTAGATAACCTTAAATCTTGATTGTTTAAATGATTATGAGCTTTGCTGGCCTGAGGTGAGCATTCTGTGTTTAGTTTGCTATCTTCTCATTCTACAGAGGAAGATCATCTTTGAAGAACAGAAATAAGTTTGGCTGAGTGTTATCTCACTGCAGAAATGTAGAGCTAAAGCTCACTAACACAATCTATCACTGTCTAGACTTTTCTCATTTTGCAAATTGCTCAAGATCTGAAACTTTGCTAGGCAAATGATTAAAAATAGCAGGAGATGACTTGTTGACTATATACTTTTCTTGGTTCACTATCAAGAGAATATACCACTTACTCTTTTCGAATACGCAGTTACAAATAAATAAATCTGTTATAAAATTGATAGTTCTAAAACCCAAGGCTTGGAAAGTTACTCCTATTAAGAGCTATTTTCTTCCATTTAAATTTTTTTCACTCTCTAAAGTAGAAGTGTAATAGGAGAATAAGGAGGAGAAGGTTCTAATATATAGCTGTAAGACC